GAGAGAGAGAGAGAGAGAGAGAGAGAGCTTCGTTTTAGTTTTAGTACAGGTTTTACGGCACTCGCAACTGCATAAGGTCATATGAGCACCAGAAGATTAGAGGTGTTACAAGAGAGTAACAAACATAAAAAGAGAAGGAGGGGAGATAGAGACGATAGGTGTTCTATAGGAAAGAAAGAGAGTTTGTCTGTGTTGTGCCTATGACTTTGTTACAAGTATGTGATCGAGTGTGTCCATAGAAACAGAACGTACTAAAAAATCGAGCTATCAAAATTCAGGTACAGTTGAGAAACGTTATCTGATATAGTATACAACTGATGCACTAGAAAACAGCAGCAGTTTTCAATTCACAACTTTATTCACATTTTAGCTGATTTGCATACAGACATGGTAGAAAAAAACACATTGCTAATGATGAAGATCTTAATAAATAATTCAAACAAACATTTTGTTGTCATCAATATACTATAATATTGTAAGATGTACATATAACCAGTGGAGTCATTTATTGAGACAAAGCTTTCACTTGTTGCTTAGAAGAAAACGAACATGTTGCATCATAATAAGTACATCCGCCAGCTTGTATTGTAAGTTAAAAATAAAGTAAGTACGCGTATGGGTCTAAGGCCCCTTTCAACAAGATTAGGTTATTTAAGACGATAGACTTCAGAATTTAACATCCATCATCTCTGAAACGACCAAGCCAAATGGGTCGAGAACCTTATAAACTCCACAAAACGACTCAGAGTTCAAGAATGCCTAGTCTCGGATTCGAACCAAGGCCATCTGCTCTATAGTGCAGCATGTTGCCAACTGAGCTACAGGGGCCATCCCTTGTGCTATAAGTAGAGCCACTATCTTGTCAATGCCCACAGGGGCTGCTGAAAGAAACACTTCACTGAGATATCACAGACATGTTTTATACCCATTGGTAAAAGTATCCTTCTCACTTCTGGCCCAACACACACCGGATAGACATACAACATACACACAGATAGACACCCACCCACATGAGGACAGACACACACACACACAACACACACACGGATAGACACACACAAGGAGAGATACACAGCACATACACACAACACATACACAAGGTTTAAGGACTGACAAACATAACCAGTCATGCAACACACATCCACACACACACACACACACGCACACGCACACATACACACACACACACACACACAACAGACAAAAACACAAAACAAAAAAAACAAAAACGATACATCATCCGTCAGAAGCCACCACAGAATTCCTACAATCACCCAACACGCACTGGCCATCTCAAAATAAGAAGCAAGCAGTAAGAAGAAAATGTTGCTCTTTAAAAATTAACTGAGCTACAAACAAACAATTCTAGGAAAGTGTGGAGATAACAAACACAAGATGAAATGCAACAAAAGTCAAGGGAAGTGTCAAAAGTAAAAAAAATAAAATTTTTCAATAAAAATTCCTCATTCCAACAAGAGGGGGATATTTACAGATAATTGAGATAACATACGCACCCAATTTCTCAACATACTCGCCACACACATACAAAATCAGGCCAATAGACAGTATATAATATAAATACACACTTTCTCCACAAATACACACACATTGTCACACACAAACACACACACACACACACACACACATGCACCCACACTCAACAAGCCCACAAACAACTACCAATAGACAAAACTTTCTCATCACAAAATAGCAACAAGATTTCTGTAAAAGTTAAAACCGGAGAAGCAAAAAAAAAAAAAAAAAAAAGTCACCAAAGATCAATCCCAGCAACCACCACTGACAAAACCCAGCAAAAATCCCATTAAAAAAAACAACAACCCCTACTTATTAATTAAAGAGGTCTTGTGACAGTTTTTCCGTCATCTGTCAAAGGAAAGCCAGAGAACAGCAAACAGCTAATCAGCAAATGACCCTCAGTGGCAAGAAATTTACACCAAAAAAAAAATTCCATTAGAAACTCGAATAAAATGTAAACCCTGAAAAAAAAAAATCAAAAAAAGATCACAAGAGTTTACTATAGCAGAAAATAGACGAAGGATTGTGCTTTGTGAGATGTAAGACAGAAGAGAATGAGGGTTCGCCATTTGTACAATGTAAGGCAGAAGTGGACAGAGACGAGCGGCCATTGATCCCAGTCAACTCGTCACATGATTGGCTCCCAGCACAATGCGGCCTGCCTTCCTCCACCTTTTGTTCCCAGGAGACAACAGCACTTATACAATGAAAAAACACAACAGAGGATTATTCGGCCCTGGGGTTTTTCTCCTCTTTCGACAGCTCAAAACTCATCACATTCACAAGAAGAAAAAAAATCACATCATATACTGTGGGGGGCTCAGAAGAAGAAAAGTAATCAAAGTAATTACCAAGTCTCCAATGTTAGGGGAAGAAAGCTCATTCTCTTCTAGGGAGACATTGGAGGAAAATGAAAAAAGGAACTGCTCAACAAAACAAATGACTAATTGTACAACTATGGGTGGACTTGTTTTACGTCCCCATTGACACAATTAGATCATACATACAGTCGGTGGTGAACAAATCGTTACGTTTAGCATTATTGTTATTACAATTGAGTTTTACCCCCCCCCACCCCCATCAAACACAGTTTAGATCATTTAGGAGGCAGGCTACTTCAACTCTGTCTATCAGTGCCAGTCTGAGCTCAGAGGGGTACGTCCCAGCAGACAGGTGGACATAGAGGAACTGTATGTATATATATATATATATAATATCTATATCACAAAACTAATCAAAACTTGAAGCTGGGGTAAAAAGTAAACCATGAAACAACACAAGTGTCATTTTGTACCATGGCAGGACATGATCACGTCTTCTCTTCTCTTCTCTCTCTCTGACTTGCTCACAAGGCATAGCAGAAGTAAATCTTACTGTACTGACATCTCAGGCAGGTCTTCCATCATTATGACATAGTATAGAAATATATGTAGTTTCATCTCCCTTCACACCTTCAGGAAAAAAATGTGCATAGTCAAAATTAATCTCAGACCATGAATTTTCATTTCTTATTTCCCCATGGACTTCAGCAATCTTTCCAGTATAGACCTTGCTCTACAATTACCCTCATGTGTACTGAACGTACACTTCGGAGTGTGTCATGTGTACCAAATGTGTCCATGAGTAGATCTAGCAGACAACCCAGTTGAGCTCAAGCTTACATCTATTGTTAGAACTATGATATTCAAACATATAATAATATATCATATTGGTCCCTTTATCAGAGGCCTAACCTCACACAAACAGAACATGGTATCTGACTTCACACTCCTTCACACTAGCTTGAAACGTCCAAACTGACAAAGCCATGCAACATTTATTCATCAAACACAACGCCGGCACGATGCAGAGTTAAGATACTAGAAGAACAATCGAATTCTTCCATCGTTACGACTGAGCTAAAAAGTGCACAACAAACTTATGTGGAAAATAGAACTGCTTTATCTATAAGTACATTGGCGTTAGAATAAATGTTAGATCAAAATGTGTCCTTGGTCTTTGTTGCAATCACGTAACTGCTATGGAATAAGTCGGGCAGATTTAAGGCAAACAGATAAACACCGCTGATACCATATACACCTGAAGAACAGATATACACATACACCACATACTTACAGAACAAGCATACACAGACACTATGTACAATGTGTAAAACTACTTTGTACATTCAAACTGTTACAACAGCAATCAGATCTTTGCAACTTCTCATTACCACAACCTCTGGCAGAAACTTAATTAACTAGCTACCCATAACCTGTTTGTTACATTTCCTGCACACTTTCATATTAAGATAGCAGCACGCATTCACTTACACAAGATGACAGCACACATTCACTTACACAAAAAGATGACAGCACATATTCCCTTACACAAAAAGATGACAGCACACATTCCTTTACACAAAAAGATGACAGCACACATTCACTTACACAAAAAGATGACAGCACATATTCCCTTACAGCACACATTCAGTAACACACATTCACTTACACAATAAGATTACAGCCCACTTTCACTAACACAAAAAGATGACAGCACACATTCAGAAAACCCACTGTTTGTAAGTCAGGCACAAGAGTAGGACGAGATGGTTAATACAGAAATGGATGGTTTAAGGAAAGGTTTTTCTCTCCACCAAAAATAACGGCTCTTATCTTATAAAATAAAACAAATATTTGTTCAATGGAGAAATAATTGATGACACTTCTACAAAATAGACGTCCGGCATTAATTTCTCTTGTATGTAAAAAGGACAAAAGATAGAGTAAAAAAGAAACAACATGTTTTGTGGATTTTCAAAATTCATTCAATAAACGGTGTCTGAGGACTGGCAGATCAACTCAATCTTGAAATCCTCAAACCAGACACGATATGTTGAGGAGACAAAGGAAAGTCTTCCCCCATGGAATGTCGCTCACATAAGACACGTCATCGAGTTATCCTGACCCTCCGTAACACATCGGTGTCAGGACGAGAGAGAGAAAAACAACGACACAATTTTATCTGAAAGTAAAAACTTAGGACGGAGATATAGTAACATTTGTTCCTCTTTGTCACAGAGAGTTCTCTACAATGTCATCAATAGCCTTATAACAGACATCCCCCCCCCTTCCCTGAAATATGTGTGTATCACAACCTCTTACTCCCCCTCCCACCCCTCTCCCCGATACATATTATCTATCAACTCCTCCTCCACAAAATCCCTCCCTCTCA